CCGAATAAATTAGCCAATTGTGACAGCGGGCGCATTGCGTCATTAGTTCTTCGTTATGTGTGCGGGCAAAGCGCAGACCGAGATTAATTTGGCCGCGCGGTCAAAGGCACGTTTGGATGGCGAGAGCAATCAAAGTAATGGACGGACCGGGATTGTTTTCCTTACCAATGGAAACAAGGAAAAATTTCCTGCAGCAAAATTAGAAAAAAAATATTAAAACTCGTAGTTAACAGTATAGTTAATAGAAAAAAATCATATTAATTTAAAAGCACAGAAAGGAAAAAATATCTCTCTGCTGATTTAATTTCCCAAGTGCATTGATTATTTTAAATGCCGACCGCATTGCAATGAATTTTCTATTTAATCAAGCCTTTTTATTTATATTAATGAAGCAATGATTTTAGTTGCCCAGGCAGTTTTATCTTTTTCTTTTCATTCAATAGTTAATAAATAACGATATTTTTTTGCACCCCAGTATTTATAAATTTAAAACATGCAATTACATTTTTCCCTCTCTTTGTATTGCATTTAAATCTGAAAATATTTGCTCCTGAATACTTCGGATTCACGTCTTGAATTTTGCAACTGGATTCCAAGAAAATTTTCATATATATGCGCGCAGCTCCATCACGGAAAACGATCTCTGCAGCTCAGAGCTCGCGTGTTTCAAATCGAGATAAGAATTTAAGAACTCGCGAGCCTGGGAGCATTGTTTTGGAAGCTTCTTCGCCGATATCGCACAGCGCCGCACGATTATTTATTGCCGATTGTTTGAATTCAATAAACAAAAAGCGGGCGAATCACGACGAGTCGTTGGTATCAATTAGTTCGCTGCCTCCGGTGGCGAGCAACGAAATTCTCCGCAGAGGTGCAGCCAATTTGGTAGGATTAATCGTGGCGGAAAATCACTTCTCTGGAGCAGCTGATGCTTTTTGAGGGTGCGTTCATGGGTGTGAAAATGAGGGGCCGGTGTCGGATTGAGGTCAAGCCAAGCGGAAAATCACCTCGCACCTTCCCAGGTGCGACAAATCTCCTCTCTGATCCCGGAGGGAGAGACGAATCGTTCGTCGCCTTTACACACTCGTTCATTCATTCTTGGAATTCCTCCCTCAGCTGGTTCTCTGGCGGGACGATGAAAAGTTTAAGGTCACCTGGAGCAGTATAAATGTACTATTAAAGTGCCCCTACGTGTACAGGTATCCCTTTTGTGCGCTGCTTCCTTGTGAAAAGTCGCCGGCGCACGGAAAGAAAGAAAGAAAGAGATTCCTGCCGACTTTTGTGAGGCCGCAGCCGCCGACAAACGGGCCCATAATTTTCTATGAAAAAGTCCTGGCCGCGTTTTAGCGTTTGACGCACAATGATACAAATATTTTCGGCAGTAATAAGCCAATTTGCCAGCAAAAGCCACGTTTCCGCTGCTTTGTTGTCAAAGCACCGGCCTAATAAAGAAGAAAAATTCCTCTCTATTGTCCTGCGGAACCAGTTATGCCCCGAGAGTGGCTGATTTCATTACAATTTTGACAAATGCCGCGAGATGCCTACCGCAGAGATTTTTAAATCAACTAGAGGGAAACGACTGGTCTAAAAGTTTTTGCGCCAATTAGCGTCTGTCAGAGATGAAATATGACGGGACATTTCCGCTTCATTCTCACATAAGTATTTCACGAAATTTTCCTCAATTATTCTAGATTAATTCAACCGTCTCACTTTTTACACTTTTAAAGTGACTAAGTTATGCAACCTGCTCGAAGGGAAATCAATGCGGAACAGCATCAAATTTTTAAAGGAAAAATTACAAAAACTAACAATATTAAGTGAATAAGTATATGGTGAATCTTTTGTAATTTAAAATGTGACCATTTTATTATTTTTAGTTTTTTAATATACCTTATATTATGTTATTTTGATGCAATCAAGCTGTAATTCATAATTTACTTTTAATTAATTAAACATTAATGTTTTTATTATGAGCCATTAAAATTTATATTTTATTATATTTTGTTTTGTTATAGATGATTTACTTTTAACCAATTAAACATTTATTTTTTTTTGTTAAATGTATTAATTCCACTTTACATAATGTCGATCAACCTATAATTTTGTATGATGCTATCATTAACATTTAGTTCAGTTTGATAATTATGCCCTCTCCGTTTCACTGGCTTTTATTCATGAAGTTTTCAGGTGTCGTTGGGCAAAATTAGTTGCGAAGGGTTGCTGGAAGTCGCAAACTTTGGGAGATGAGTCGGTGTGCCAATTACTAGGGGATTAGAGGCTGTCGGTGCACCTCGGGCGGCGTTGATTTTGCCGAAGCAAGTATCGAATGGCACGTAGGTGGGGACCTGAACGAAACTGGCCGCGGCGGCGGGTTTTGCGCCTGCAGACCATAGCAGAGTGAAGCCTTATACAAATTGAATGTAGGCATAGCGAGCGAAAGAGCCCATCAGGGACACGTGGTCCCTCCATCTTGATGCCCGGCCGATATAATTATTGTACGCGCGCAGCCAAAATCATCCGACCGTGCGGTCAGCACACGCATTTGTGTTTATACGGCTGGGCCTCTTGGCGATGAGGGAATTTGATGAGATGCTCGGCAAGAAGCGACTCGGTTATTTCATTAAAAAACTGTTTTGACTCAAATATCTTTTTGCACTATAGCCTGCAGAGTAAAAGAGAGGAACACAATTTTTTTTATTTCTTTTTTGAACTCCGACTTTGCTCAGTTAATATTCACAAGCAATTCCAGATTGAAGTTTGACGCCGGTGTTTATTGTGCTCTCTTGCCCCTCATCAAAAGGAATTCTGTGCCACATGCACAAAAAGCGATTTTTTTCGCGCGAAATATTGCTCAAACACAAAGGCGCGTTGTGTCGTTTGTCGCAAATGTTTATTTTCCTACCTGCCGTGCCGCTGCCTTTTTAATATACATGTTCCGAGCCGCGGAATGCAAATACGGAGAGCAAGGGAAAAGTAGTGTGCAGCACTTTGTGACGACGCGAAAACATCAAAAACGCTCTTTCGTCCGGCGTGGCGGCTTTTTTATTTCCTGCTGGATGTGCAAAATGGCGAATTCTTTGCCTACAAAAACAGAGGAAAAAAGCAAAATAATACCAGTCGTGTGTTGTGAATATATATGGCAATATAAAAGCTGAGTTTTGTGTTTGTTCTTCTTCCGCTTCAAAGTTTGTTTCGTGCCGCTGCTCTAATATTCCGCGCGGCGGATCAGACCGTGTGTTATATTTCACCCAGCGCATCTCATCTTGTGCTGCTGATGCTCAGCAGATCACTTTTGAGTTATGACTAAATAATCGTCTTTTTGCGATTCTCGAATAGATAATTTATGAGCACATGATACATAATAATTGAGAACATCAAGTTCATTTCAGCTGTTTTTTTTTCAATAGGTCATCTTATTTTACATGCAGACTGCAGAGTCATATTTAAGAGATAAGAATGACAATATAATTAATAATTAGGGTAGTTAATAATCAAGCCTTGTTAATAATGTTCGTTGCTAAATGGTAACCAATTTAAATTTATTGTTACTTTATTCACTGCAAAACAATTATGTAAGAAATAATGAAAATATATATAATTATTTTATTTTTTTAAATTAATATATTACTAAGCAAAAATCCTTTATAAATAAAAATAGTAAGTAAAACAAAAGTCTGAATGATAAAATTAATAATAATGTATGTATTTATAGCAATCTGGACAAATAAGCAACAAGTTTATTTTAATATCTCAAAATAAAAACAAATAAACTAAACAATTATATTTAAGTACTAAACTATTATATTAACATTATTTATTTTCAAAGCTTAGATTTTTGTTTAAATCTTCCTGTGCAGAATTAATCGCAAATTAACAGTGGCAAGAGGGCATGAGCTATCGCAGAATTATCTGTGTTCCTTTCTTTTTCTCTGCTCTCGCGGTGTGTGGTCGCGCGAGTCTGCAGATTGTGTACACATACAATATCGAAGGCTGCTTTTTCACGATGCGAGCTAGAGAGGAGAAAGACGAGCGAACTGGCCCGTCGCAAGAGCATCACAAGAAGAAATATGTAATAATAAGCTCCTTGGTAACGTGCTTATTATTATTTTATATGAAAGTAAAAAATTATTGTGCCCCTCGGCCGAATCAAAATTACTCTCTGGTGTGCGCCAAAATGTTCGCCATACTTTGCGAATTCCGATCAGGGGCGGCCTTGGAAGCCTTCGACGTGCCCTGATACGATTTATAGAGATCACATTGATCGCTTATGTCAATAATTTTATAGAAATTTAGTAAACATAATAATTTAAAAGTAAGAGTCAAATTTAAACCAAGAATAATTCATAATACTTAATATTTATTTTTGAAGTTAAAATAGTTTTTTTTTTAAATAAATAATTGCACAAAAATTTCCTGTTCTTTGCCAGTTTGATATTTTTTATAAATAGTCAGGAGGTTGAAAGTGTTTAGCCCGCCACTGCTGAGCATCGAAAAATGCTCATAAGAAGGGCGGGGTCTGCTGGTGGCCGGAGCATGACATTACGTTATCTGTCGGCAGATCAGGATCGTGCACGGTATCATTTCCACAGATAAAAGACTAGAGCGATAATTATGTTGTGAATATATTTTCCAAATCGCCTCAAAGCCCTTCTACAGTTTCGTTTGTTTTCTCAGCTAAAACACGTTCCTTCAGAGTGCGGTCGCGTTTAGTATTTTTTTCTCTCTTCAGCAGCCTTGGAATTTAAATTAGACTCTCTACTCTCGGGTAGATTAAGAATTGAATAATAAAACCGAAAATGAGCCCATCAGTGTCCGCCGAAATCCGTCGTAAAAATTAAAATCCCTCCACGGCTCTTTTGCTGCAGCATGCGGCGCGCACGTTTTCTCTCTCTATTAATGGTCGCGCGCAATAAAATCTCGTTTGCTCTCATTAAGAGGCCGGCGCGCGTTTCTTCGAATGCCTTTTTGATGCTAATTTATGGAATTTTCCTTATGTGTTTCAGTGCTGGAAGAACTGCGAGCTCCTGCAAACTAATTACCCCATCTGGGGCTCCATGTGCCATGACAAGAGAATCTGCGTAAGTTTTTAATCTTTAAATATTTCTTAACTTGCAGAGCAAAAAAGATTTTTTCAAGTAAAAGTCAGTTAAGAGACAGTTTATTTAAATTTTAATTGGGAAAAAAAGAAAACAATTTACATTAGGATTTTTTTCTGTTCATAAAAAAAGCGCATTTTATTTTATAATTAATTTGCTTTTGATGTATTGAGTAAAATCAGTAATTGAAAGTTAAAAAGATATGCCCAAAAAGAAAAATATATTAAAAAATAATAATATTTTAGTAGTAATTTTTTTAGTAAACATTTGTTTTCCCATTAAAGCGACTAAATGCAAATCTGTGGGGGGTTGAGTTAACTTATTGTAACCATTTAATTTTCCACCTAATTAATTGGGTGCCACTCGAGTGCAGCTATCGGTCGCTCCAATCGTGAGTTATCGCCGCACGCAGGGCGTTTCGTTATATTTTCCAAGCAACTTGCATGAGTGCACACCGTTAAGAGAATATATATAAATGCACTCCGGTCGCCCCGAGGGTAGATAAGCAGCCAGAGTTTAGACAAATCCTCTTTAAATTACACGCACACGGGGCGTAGAGGGCAATTACTCGAAAATCTGGCACCTTCTCGTGAAAAGTTCTCGCGTTCATTAAATTTATACGAAACGACCATAAATCATTATTCGCGCGCGGTGTTTGTACTCTCTCGTGGGCGCACAAACGGCACAAGAAAAATGAGCTGCTTATTAAAACACGCCGAGGCGCACGGGATTATTTTCTTTTATTATTTTTTTTCTTCACCGAGTGCGAGAAACAAAACGGGGAATGATTGATGAAACGAATCGCGTTGCGAAAGTTGCTTGGGCTTTGATTACACGCCGGCAGCTGGAAAAGCAGCAGTGCACCAGATTCGCAAAGTTTTTGCAACAATAATGAAAGAGGGAGACGCACCGCCGTGGAAATTACATACAATTAACGCGCGAGAGGTTGTAAATTTTGTCGCCCTCTTGGCCCGGGGCCGCTTTTTACATTCACAGTCCTCTCTTAATTAGCAATTACAAACAGCACCGAATAATATACGTGTCGCGCGCGCATTTGTTTGCGGCTGAGCGAGCAGAGAGAAAATTGATTGCGAATTAATGAGGGAGAGGGAAGAGTGACTTCATCTCGGAGGCATCCTTTTGCCTTTTCAAACATTGTCCGTGGGCTCATTCAAAACTTTTACTGTTAGTCTGTTAAAAAAATTTTACTTTTGAAAACTCTCGGAAACATTAAAAACAGAGGTTCAAATTAAAAATATAAGCCTATCATATTTTCTATAAATTTTTTTTAAAGTGCATCCAATCAGTTTTAATTGCGTCAGGTGCACTTCTCGTCTGTGGCCTCTAATTAAAACAGCCCGTTTCTCTCATGCATGACAATCGCGTTATGTACCCCCATAATTACCACCCATAATAGAGCACCTGATTCCTAAATCATCCCGACGGAAAATAATAAAATAAAAATCGGCCTTTCTTATCTTCTCCCGATCGAAAGACCTTCCCATAATGATACGTTGACGGAAACCGGGAGCCGCTCGCTTTTCATGAAAACTTCACCGCGGTGGATTGAACAAAAAATTCCTTTTGTTCCAGTACCCTGGGTGTCAGGAGGCGTGTCGCTTCCACCACGAGACGTCGCTCCAGGGCCACCAGCAGGCCGAGCCGGTCATCCAGACTAAGGGCGAGGAGGTCCTGACCCTGAACACCCTGCCCCTGGGCGCTGGGGTGATCACCTGGCCACCTGCGGTCAATCCGAACGTCGTCTACGTCCTCATGGCCAGACCGGCCGGATCTTCAACCTGGCGACAAATTTCACAGGTAAGAAAATTATTAAAAAATTTCAGCGTTCTCCTCTGTTGGCTCTTTTTGGTGCCGGAATTCTCCGAAATGAGGAATTCCTCTCGGTAATAACGCCGCTCCGTTTATTTTGGAGCTTTACGGCCCACAACGCCAAAGTTAATTAAACCAGTTCCGCGTTGATCGTTTGTTGTATATTGAGTGAAACTGCGGTGCCGTTAATCTGAATTAATCGTGTGTCCGCAGAGCACGGAGAGCGAGGCGCGCATCGAGGCCGGCAATCCGGTGCTCGGCGTTGGCACCACCATCAGGGTGCTCGTCGTCGACCCCGAGGGGCTGGTCACCATTCTCAGTCCGACGCACCAACCCACGCCGTCCGTCATTCTGTCCACGCTGGCGCCCGAAATCGTCCAACAACAGGCCCTTTTACAAACTATCAAATCAAAGGTCAGTTTAAAATTTTTTTTATAAATTATTTTTAAACATAATATTTTAATACTTTTTATAATTTTGTAATGTTATTAAAAAAATAAAATTATTTTATATAACAAAAAATTAAATTACATGGGAGTTTAGATTGTGTTTGTGAATATTTATCTCGCTAATCTTGTTTATTTTGAACAATTCAATTTCACATATTTGCAAAATTTATTATTGTATTTTATATATCAACCTCTCGGGTACAACAGTCAAGATAATATAATGTATTAATATCGTGAGCTATATTCATCGATTTGTCTCTTTGTGTAAAATTAGAAATTAGTATTTTTACTTATAGTTAATACAATTGCACATTTACAAATGTCAATTAATTTAATTTAAATCTTAATTTTCTTCCACAAATACAAATTTTTCACACTTTTCACAGTTATTTGCCAAGTGAGGTTTTCATTTTGGGTATAATTGATTGACATTGAGGTCAATGATGGGGAATTTTTTAAATAAATACATTTCAATATGTGGTATATCTTTTCACCGCTGCTAACCAAACAACCTTAAAAATTGCATTAGTTTTAAATCTTTAAAATTAGTCCGTAATTCCTTTTTTACTGAAAGAAATGTGCAAATCTCATTATGAAAATATACATAATTACAATTTTTCCAGAAAACATTTTTGTTGAAAATTCAAATACCTTTAATTATATATTTTTCTGCCTCTAAAAAGCCGAGATTTAATTAAAATTCCTTTCCATCTGTCATTTCAGGTGGACGACGAATCAAACGAGGAGCAGGAGCCGTGGCGGTTGGAGGAAGTGTCCCTTTTGCACCAGCGAGTGCTGGTCATCGCCGAAGTGTCGTGGGCGCCGCGTGCCCGTCGCGGCGTCTACCTGGTCACCTGGGAGTTGGACGGCGGCGGCCTCAAGGGCAACCTGTTCACCGACTCGACCTGCGTCACCCTCTCCCTTTGGCCGGACACCGTCTACCACATTCAGGTGAGCGCCTTTTTCCGTTATGAACCTTCCATTCGGATTTGGGAAGCATATCGAATGGCTAAAATGCAAATAGCTCTGGCTGCCGACTTAAAAAGTGACACACGCCGGCATATATCAGCCCGGGTCATCTCTCTCTCACTCACTCACGGCTTTTAATCATATTTGGAGGGACAGATGTTCGCTGGACGAATGGCTCGCGGCCGTTATTACAGCGATGAGGTGTCAGTCGCTTTTGGATCTTTTACAACACACCCGTGAAAAGCCATTAGTGCGGCCGAGGCGACTTTTGGTCCAAAACAACGGACGCCTCCAGTGATATAATTGCCGGCAGACACGCACCGGGCACCAAAAGGAAACGATTCTCCTCGTTTCGGCAGGTGCAATTAGCCGCGAATTGTCAATTTTTGGACCCTTGTGCGATAATTGGAGGCTTCCTTTAATATATAATTTTGGGTCGCACGCGATTTTGGACCGGCCGTTTTTAATAACATTTGGCAAAATGAAATTCATCCAAGGACACACTTACATAAATTGCTGTTAGTTCCTTGAAGACATTAGTGCTATAACCTCATTTGAAATTAAAAAATAAACAATACAACAAAATAAATTCAAAATCAGAGATCCTAAAGTTACATAATTCAATAATAGCGATATTGCAATATTATAAATTTCCGCTCTTGCAATTGAAATTTTCTAATTTTTTCTGTTTGTACAACATTGGTGCGTCTTTTATAAAGTGATATCATGGACCATTTTCGTCTGTTCTGCTTTCAGGTGGAACTTGTGTCCCGTTTGGGTGAAAAGCGACATCCGGCGGCGCCGCGCGTCGAACGGAGCGAGGTCCTGCTGATCGACACGCGGAAGGCGCCGCAGGTGGAGGCCGGCCGGTCGGCGCCGTCGGCGGAGCCGTGGGAGGAGGTGGCGTCGCGCAGGAGTCGGAGGCAGCTGACTGAAGAATTGCTCGCTGGTACGGGCGCTGCCATGTTGCTGTTCCTGCTACTGGCCATGGCGTGGCGGTGTCACCTAGCCAGAAGCCAAGCCATTTCCAAAAGACGTTTGCTGCTGGCGGATGATTCGATATCTGCCGGTGAGAATGCATCTTTGACGTTTTTAAAGAGTTCTCTCTTCCATTATTTTTGCAATGTGTCTGCTGTGTTTTTTATTTGTTCCATGCTCGCTTTTTGCACAGCTTTTTTGCCGTTTCGCTTGTCAGCAGCTTACAATTTAGTTTTTCGTGGGATACAGAATTTGCTAAGGAGGGATTTTAAACATTTAATTTCATAAAACATAATAACACAATGATAAAATTAGAAAATGTTGGGTTTTACACTTAGTGCAGCAATTTTTTAATTTGTTTGATTATGTTTTAATTCAAATATCATTTTTGCTTTCATATAATTATATATTTTTGAATTATTTTCATTTTTTATTCTTCTCACAAGACACTGGTTTGCGGGATCGCTGGCTTTTTAAACTTTTGTTTTAACAGTTAAAGTTTTTAATATATGGCTGGAATTTTTTTTTTATTACTTTTCTCTTAATTTTTATGAATTTATTGCTATCGCAATTTTTACATTAAATAGTTCCGCTGCACCAACCACTTTTATTCTCATCGTCATCGCAAAGCACGCGATTTCCCTCGCTTTTAATTTATTTATCTAAAGTTTTTGCCGCGGCGGAGAGAGAACTTTTAAAACGTCCCTCTTTGTTAGTTGTTTCTCTTTTTTCCACTCTTCTTCTGTCTGTTCTGTGCTGCGAGAGAACGAAAGTTCCAAACTCTCTTTTTCTTTCTCTTCCAATATAGTGCTCTAGCGTTTTCCCACTATACTCTATACATATATACGTGGTGTGCCTTCGTACATATCTCGCCCTCGACGCTTCCAAGCCCTTCTCGCGGTGCAAGGCGATAATCGAGTTTCTCTTCTTGTGTTGCAGCCGGCAGATCGAGTCCAATCGTTAGTGTGATGACGCCAAAAGACTGCTGTGACGAGCTCGCCGCGGGGCCCACCTCGGACGACCTATTCCTGAGCTTCCCTTCGATCAAAGTGTAATTATTAGTCATCTCTCAGCCGATCGAATCATGCAAAAGTGACTGATTGAATCGATTAAGTTAAACAAACTCCGCATACCAAATGAGAGGAGATGCAAGTTGTGGATGCAAGTTAAGTGAATGTGGTTTTTTCCTGATAATATCGGCGAACGATGTGAGAATTAGTTTTGATTGAGGAGTGACACGATCTGAGTAAGTTTCAAAAGACTGTGTATATAATAGGTGAATATATATAATAATTAATTAAATCGTAAATTTAAAATCTCAACAATCCGAGTAAAAAGCAAGTCAGTCATTCCGTGTTAAACCTTAGAAGGGCAGCATGTTTAATTAAAGCTCGCTATAAAAAGGAGATGTAATTTTGCCTTTTGCATAAACTACTGGAACCGTTTTGTAAATGGAAGCCAAATTTGTATACTTATATATTATAAAACGTAAAACAGCATTCTCTATATTTATCCGCGTGAAAAGTTAACTGAAAGAGGATTTCAATTTCTGCCTGTTGACATCAAAAATAAATCTCTCAATGTGGACGGTTGGAAATAATTCTGCGTGTTTTCCGTGTGTCAGCCATCGAATGCGCGTCACGTTTCGAAATGATTTTGCTAATTAATCGGCGCTCGAAAATTCGTGGCGCTTTTGATTGATCACGCGTCAATGTAGATTTGACGCTTTTGCATTTGATATTTGCGCGTCCATTATAAAAAAATTCAAGTTCATCCTGCATGACACACGTGTGAAAAGGCTCTTTGAAAATCCGTGCCAATTTTTGCTACGAATTACTGTACTCTGTGAATAAATTTAAAAAAGCTTTTGATGTCGGAATTTCCCAGAATCAGGCACCACTCGCATTTCGCATTCCGCACGCATACTTGTATTGTATTGAATTAGTTTTCAAGTCATTGGTTTCCACGCATTCGCGATAAAGGCAAAAATTAATACTGAATTAAAAGTTAAAATCCATCTGTGTAGGATATAGCATATGTAAATTTTTGAGTTTGTGCGCTGAAATTTTTTGTACAGGTCTGCATTTGATTATTACTTTTTCTTTCAAAAAGTACCGCACTTAATAAATTATTTTTGTAAATTTGAAAAACAAATGCAATAAGATTGATGTCAAGGAAAAGCTATTAAAAACGGCTACTACATACCATCAATAAATGTCATAATGAAATAATATGATGATTGTCTTTTAATTAAAAACTACCTGAAATACTGAAAATAGGCACAAGAAAGTTCTTTGATTGTTAATTTAGTTTTTTTATTTAAAAAATAAATTTGCAATAATTCTATATTTACTTCCTAAACGTGCAAAATTTTGTTAACAGGCGTGCACTGCCAACGTTGAACAATTCAACTCCATTTTAAAAATAATGAGGGTCTAGTTAACACAATCAGAAGTTGGGTTAATCAAAATTTAGGCATCTGTATAATACCATTAGACTCGCTATTAAGCAATAAGCATAAGTGACCATTTCAAATTAAATATCAAACACAGTTACCTACCGGCATTGTGAATATTTGAAACTTAAAAAAAAATATTCAAATAAATGCAACCAACAATCAATTTATAATACATTTTAGATGGCATATAAATAAAGTATATAAAATTAAAAAAATTAAAATTAATATAAATTTTTTATTTATACTATAGCACATTGCAAATTTTTAAACGCACAAAAAATTTACTATTTATTACAAAAAAGGAACATTTAAAAAAAAACTATTTATTTATTCTAAATTGCACTAGAACATGATAAAGAGTAGTCTTGGTGAGCATGCGAGGGAAGGCAATGGTGGGTTGGCCTGGTAAAATACTATTAGGGTGGAGAACGTCAGGTAGAAAGCATCCTAGCTTTGAGCCGCTATAAATGGAAACCAGTCAAAGTTTAATTCCTCTTATAAATTTTGAGCTTACGATTTCAAAGACTCTTTCAATTAGGGTATGGAGGAATGGCGTGAAAGTAAAAATTTCAACAACAAAGTAGACGACTGTGTTCATTAAATTCAGCTGATCTTCAAAGATTTGGTTGCCAATCACTGAAATTTTAAATTTTTTGCAAAATTTGAAATTAATTTATATGCAGGTTCTAACAATGAGCAAAAGTGCTCGAGCAGGCAGTAGAGTGGTAATTAACTATCCAGAAAAGGGTCATGATGAGAGATTTCCAAAATATCAGGCTCTGAGAGAAATTTAAAAAAATTAAATAAGATAGCAATTGCATGCACAAAACAATGAGATTTATCTCTTTTTTTGCATTTTCTTATTTCGTGAAATTATACTGATGAACTGCAAGAAATTATCAGGCCAACAATCCGATTCCTATTGTTCTTGTTTAAGGGTTGAGCATTCTAAGCGGAAACGTCAGTTGTCAAGCCACCGTATTTAAAATATACGATCATCATCATCACAGCAAAGAAAGCTGCACGCAATGGATCTAAAGAAAATAATTTAAAAATTATTTAATCAAATAAAAAATTGTTGTAAATCAACGCATACATGGCACAAGGAGAAACCAAATAAGGGCAAATAATCCCTCGCAGGCAAAAGTTCCTTTTTCAAAGGGCTGCAAGGTTTAAAAGAAAATATTCAAGAAAAAATAAAATAAAGAGTAAATTTCATACCAATCGAAAAACCGAATAAACGTAGGGTATGAAGACAGCTGAGGGTAGGTAAAATATTTCGGCAAAGCCGTAAAGGATCAAGAGGAGGCTGAGAATGACTAAAGGCATATAATTGATGCAAGCGTATGCTCCTGAAAATTCAAAGATAATTTAAAATTAGTCCTTACTATTGAAAATTCACTGCACGCATTGAAATACCCAGTCCCAGGCCACAGAAAATCACAAGGGATCCACAGTTGAGATTTACCTTTGCCAGGACCACACAGATGATAGCCTTTCCCAAGACAGCGGACTATAAAAATTTGAAGCGATGTAATTCATAGAAATTTGAGAAAATCGTTGCTTTTACCCAAGTGATATTCTGCATGGCTGAATCCAGGAGTGAAAATGATTGACAGTTGCTTTTTCAAATAATTATTTAAAAATGATGGTATGGACAACAATCTACCGTTTTTTTATTGTTGCAAATTTCAAGAATAATTTCTGACTAATTAATAAGAAGATAGGTTGGACATAACAAAAAATTTTTATTGTTGGCCACATAGAAATTTGAACTGTTGAGCATATTATGACAAATGTATTTGAAATGAAACTAAGCTTTACACTTCTACAAAATATTTAATATGACCTGCTGAAAAAAAATGGAATTAAATTATGGCTTGAAGTTATTGAGGATAGCGTACCATTTTTTTTTGCGGACTTTTGACTCCAGGGAACAACAATCAACATCGAGATAAATAGAAAATAGCAGGAAAATAGTTGCTGAAGTTGTTGGGTCCATATTCTAATAAATGGGAAGTTTTAATCAGGGGTCTAATTCTGTAAGATAGAATCGTTCCATTTCCATTTCTATTTCATTTTCCATTTGCTTACCCATTCTATTTCGTCGCCTTTTTCGATTACGACTTCTATTTCGCAGCCTATCCATTTCCATTTCTATTTCGTCGTCAATTTTAATATTTGAGCCATTTATTTATTTATATTTAATTTAATTATTCCCTGTGCTTACAGTGCTCTTCGAATGGTTTTTAATATTCAGGTTGATAAAATTATATGAATTATTTAATTTTTAATGAAAATGTATATTTATAATTCTTATATGTCTCTCGCACCCCCTTTTAATCGAATCTTTTTATGGCTCATAATTAGGGGGGATCAAGATAATTTTTCCTTTCACGAAGTTAATTAAATCAATTTCTTAAAAATTGGTTGAATTCAAATACAATTATAATATTTTTTTTTAGCAAATTAGCAACCATGTATTTTATATTATTTAATTCATCGCGTGCGATGTTTGGTACCACAATTTGCTCCCACACTGTGGTACCACAATTTGCGCCCACACTGTGGTACCACAATTTGCTCCCACACTGTGGTACCACAATTTTCGCCCACACTGTGGTACCACAATTTGCGCCCCCACTGTGGTACCACAATTTGCTCCCACACTGTGGTACCACAATTTTCGCCCACACTGTGGTACCACAATTTGCGCCCACACTGTGGTACCACAATTTGCTCCCACACTGTGGTACCACAATTTTCGCCCACACTGTGGTACCACAATTTGCTCCCACACTGTGGTACCACAATTTGCGCCCACACTGTGGTACCACAATTTGCGCCCACACTGTGGTACCACAATTTGCGCCCACACTGTGGTACCACAATTTGCGCCCACACTGTGGTACCACAATTTGCGCCCACACTGTGGTACCACAATTTGCTCCCACACTGTGGTACCACAATTTGCGCCCACACTGTGGTACCACAATTTGCTCCCACAATGTGGTACCACAATTTGCTCCCACGCTGAGGTACTTTTGACTAAACGCCTTATTCAAATAATTTTTTATACATTTTATTGACTTGAGTACATTAAAAATCATTTGAAAATTACTGTAGGCGCATATGCAATAATTAAATTAACTATAAATAAATATAGATATTTATTTATATTTATATATATATAAATATAAATATGGCTCAACTATTAAAATTGACGACGAATTAGAAATGGAAATGGATAGGCTGCGAAATAGAAGTCGTAATCGAAAAAGGCGACGAAATAGAATGGGGTAAGCAAATGGAAAATGAATATAGAAATGGAAATAGAAACGAAAAAGCTTACAGAATTAGACCCCAGATTCCACAAACGTGGTAATAGACGTAACTAGCCTGAAAACTGACTTGATGTCCTCGGCGGTCGCGACCGCCGCGACCGCCGCGACCGCCGCGACCGCCGCGACCGTCGCGACCGCCGCGACCGCCGCGACCGCCGCGACCGCCGCGACCGCCGCGACCGCCGCGACCGCCGCGACCGCCGCGACCGCCGCGACCGCCGCGACCGCCGCGACCGCCGCGACCGCCGCGACCGCCGCGACCGCCGCGACCGCCGCGACCGCCGCGACCGCCGAGGACATCAAGTCAGTTTTCAGGCTAGTTACGTCTATTATGCTTAATTTTTACCATTTTAAAGAATATTTTACTTCAAATATGGTGTGGAATAATAATTAAATACACCTAAACAATAGAAATAATATACGCAAGCAATGATACGCAATAGAAAAATCAATGCATAATTCATTCAGTATAATATATGCAATTCCCTTACTTGTAATTTTCTTTTGTTTAATATACAATTAACAAATTTTTAAAATCAAATGCTTGCATAATTAAAAGATAATAATTTTATTAGGTTTTAAAATTGGTAAAAATTATATTTATCTTCTTAAATTATATATTGTCATGATTTGCTATATTTGGATATTTACATTTTAAACTTATTGATCCTTCCCGGTATATTTTTTTTAATCTCATATATGATAATTTTGTGCGACACCTTAATTAACATTGTATTATAGCTGTGCTATAGGACGTTTGTGGCACAGATATACAAAAATATTTTTGTGCCCTTTTCCGTCACCGCCATGTGCTGTTGCAAGCAAATTTGTTTCGCCCGCTGGCGGTGCCAAAAATTAGAGTGATACACCACACGGCCAATTTACAACGCGCGTGCGGAGGAGATTATTTATTTTTTATTATTTAAAAAAGTGCCTATGTGATGAAACAAAATTTACCTACTTAATTGTAAATTAAATTTAAAAAATCTATTTGGAAGATATAAAAAATTACCAAAACATATTTTGGTTAAAACATTTTATAAGTTTAAATAAATATTAATTTGTAAACGCTTACAAAAAGACAATGAAACTTTTTATTATTATTTTATTTCTTGTATTCCATCAAATGTTTATACAAGAAGTTGCAAAATTGTGAACATTGCAGATTTCATTGAAACTGGATTGAAGTGTATAAAGGGCATTGGCAATAAATGGCTACCGTGTAACGATCAATTTCCTGGCCATGGCTACTGATAACAAGAGAGCTTCTCGTCATATAACAACGCTTTGCCTGCTTATTACAACACTCATTGATTAAATCGGAGTCGTTTCGACGTTCAGATAACTCGGTCGCTGGATTCATCGCAGGGCTCGAGAGCTGATCCCGCCCGCCCATTTTCAGCTCTGGTTGCTGCCTGGGTCGCGTCTCGCAGTCTGGCGAAATCTCCTTTATGAAATCGACTGCTGCTTCTTATCCCTCCGCCCCACCGACCCACAAACCCGTCCGTCCGGCCGGCAGATAAGCCCTTTTCCATCTAACTTAAGCCATCTTTCGGATTTAGAAATGACCAGCAGCAGCCGCGGATTACTTTTATTACTGCTCCATTCTGCGGGCCCCCCGCCGGATCTCTTCCTCTCAGAACAAAATAAACGCAATCTTGCTTTTTTCCAAATGAATTGCACCCATCTTTCCCTAATTGAAATTCGCTCCGCCTCTCTGCAGGTGAACTTATTTATACACTTATTTGCATGCAGAAAGAGACTCGGCGAAAGTTGCGGTTTAATTGGCAATTGAGGATTCACTTTGTGCATGAAGCGGCGAGGACGACCGGCGGAGATGGGAAAGGTTAGCGACCCGCAATTAGTCTGATTAATCGGTGCATTATGCAACTTCGTGCTCGGCGAATTCATTTGCTCTTCTTTCATCGTCGGCTGCGGCTCGCTTTTGACGCGATGGAGACACGGCTGATCAAAAGGAAAATTAAAAGTTTTGTGCCTTGGAGGAGATGAAGAGGTAATTGAGAAATAATGAGTTTTCTGCTCTTTTGTCGTAGGACAGCTCAAAGCAGTCCTATCCTTCAAATACTGGCAAAAACATAAACTATACTTGTAAGTTAAAATGTGCTAATTGACGCTTATTTCGCAAATCAGGTCTGCGATAGACCTGGTGATTTTTTAGGTCATGAAGGATTAAAACATCTTAAAATTTTGAGAGATTTTTGTCCTCCATGACCTAAAAAAATAACAAGGTCAATCGCTAATTAATTAAATATATCTCTAAATGAAGAATAAAATATTTTAAATATTTTAGAATAATGTTAAAAGTAATTAAATGGTAACATTAAAAGGCAATATTAACATACTTTTGTTTATTAAAATGGCGTATCTAATAAATACATGTGGACGATTTTAATAAAAATAAAATTTCTCAGGGGTTGCGCAGGACTATTTTAAATATCAATACAAGAATTAAATTCTTCTTCTTTTCGGCATAAACAAATCCCAAGAATAAAAAAGGAAAAGATTTCCCTATGCAGATAAGCACCGAATTCTTGTGTATACGTATATGTACACACACAAATACTTTTACTCCCCGCATTTATCTAGATCGAATCCGCGCGACAAAAAGAATAAAAATGCTGAAAGGCCCGAAATTCCAAGAGAGGAAAAGGCACCAAGATTAATTATCGGCGCAGCGGCTGTTATCAAGTGGCGCAGTCAAAAAGCCGTGTCACCGAAATTTATTTTCCAAAGTGTGTTGCCTTTTTTCACTCTCTCGTATGTGCTCACGGCTTTAGCGGCAAGGTGTGAGTTTCTCGCGCGCACACCCCTTTCGGGCCGCTCGCTGCGAAAGACGGATTTTCAAGCAGTCATTTTTCAAGCCCTACAAACAGCACGTCCTCTTCTCATACGCATTATAAAGTGTTTAAACGCTCGCTATCAAACCGAGCGAGCCAAATAAATTATATGCGCGCCGCTTTTTATACCATGGCGCTCTGCTCGCTTTTAATTTATCGTCGGGGTAAAAAATAAAATTGTCAAAACGGCTGAAAAATGAACGCGCGCTCGTCTTCATGTACTCTCTCCAAGTGTATATTTACGACTGAAAAATTGAAAGAATATAAATAAATATATATAAGCTGCTTTTTTCACTTGACATCAGCAGTTTTTCATATTCGTCCAATCTTCTGCTTTCCGCGCTACGGAACGGCGTTGG